CCTGCTGGTTAGTAAAAAGTGTGCTTCAGGCTGAGTTGTAGTAAAGCTGTGGATTTAGTTTGGTGTAAAAATTTTGCAGGTGTAGATTATTGAAACTTTTAATTTACTGCTAAAGACTATCACCGAATGCCCTTAGTTAATATCCAATAAAATAGCTTATTGGCTACCTATGTAGTAATATAAAAGAATGCCTAACACTTAGTCTGAAAAATAAATGCAACTATGGCTTCTAAAGTGATGTTACTTCTCACTTTGTTTTTTGGTGTATTTAGTTGTATTTAATCACTTTAATGAGGGTTTTAACTTTTTAATTAAAATTTTATATGGTTAAAAATACCTCTACTATTCATTCCTTTCCTGTTTGTGTTTTTTTTAACAGTCAAAGACCTCCCTCTTCCTAGGTTTGTTGTGTCAAAGAATGAACAAGAATCGAGACATACAGCCTCGTATGCTTCAGATGCTGATAATCCAGCCTCATATTCAGGTGTAATTCCACCCCCCCCTGGCAGGGTACAAGCCAAAAAAGGCTCCGTGAGCCATGATGCAGTTCAGCAACGTACATCAACAGATCAGGTAATTAACTGAAACAAGAATTGTTATTCAAGGTATTGTACCATTGTGCTGACTAAGCTCTAGCTTTGAAGTAGCTTCTTTGAAATGACTTCACACAAGCTTTTGTATTAATGGTTATGTTTGAAGTTTATATTTTTAATCTATCTAAACTGTGTGTGTGTGTGTGTGTGTGTGTACAGACTGCAGTATAGACTAAATCTAAAACTGCATTTATCTAATTTTACTGTTACATGAAGCTCCAGTGATAGGACATGTACTGTTTATTCTTCAGAACCCCTAGAGATGTGCCCTTTTGCTAGACCTAAAGAAAAATGCATTGCATTCAAAAGCTTGCCTATGCCTATTGCAGCCAAGCATTTGGTCCAATAAACTATCGTCCACACACATCCTGATTTTGTTAGAACTATTTCATATATATGTTGCTTCTATGCACTGTTGTGTGTGTGGTGCCCCAGACATAAAGCAGGTTTTCAGATATGCTTAAAACAGAAGTTTGGAAATAACACAGTTATTAAGAGGTAAAGGAAAATGAGTTAAACTTAATGAGCAAGAACCTCTGATAGTTTTATTTCATTTTTATATTTTTATTTTCTCCCTAAACTTTGAGTGATACCCTGAGACCTAGCTATTTCCATACATTAAGCTGCCTAGATTCTTATCTGAATGTGGCTTTAATCGAACAGCTGTTATAGGACCTGCAGGTGTGCTAAACTTTTATAAGTATTACCTTCTGTCCAGTTCACCTTTACTTAAGAAAATCCTTTGTACCATCATAGCCTCTACTATGCTTGTACAGCCCCTTAATGGAGACACTGCATCAGCTGGCAGGAGTTTTTCTGTTGGTGTACTTATATCTCATCTCTGAACAAAAGACAAGTAACAAGAGAACTCTTTTGGGTTCTGTCTACATAATTGTATTGTCTAGACTAGGGGCAGGCAGTTATTTCAGGTGGAGGGCTGCTTACCGAGTTTTGGCAAGCTGTTGAGGGCTGCATTTTCCTCTCCAGTGCAGGGAAGTAGAAAGATCCCCATGATCCCAGGCCAGAAGCCTCTGCTAGGCAGGGGTTTTTGGTTGGGAGGACAGGGCTAGACAGGCCTTGCTGCTGGGTCCTGCCACCAGCTTCCTCTGGGTCCTACTGCCCCTGGCTCCTGTCATCTTTGACAGGCACTTAAGAGCAAATAAATATTAATTTTCTAAATTTTTAAGGGCCCATGAGCTGGATAGAATGGCCTGGCAGGACAAATCCAGTCCCCTGGGCCATATTTTACCTGGGCCATATTTTACCCATCCCTGGTCTAGATACTGGATCTGGAACCAACTTCCAAGAGAAGTGGTGCTGACTCCTACCCTGGGGGTCTTTAAGAGGAGGCTGGATGAACACCTTGCCGGGGTCGTTTGACCTCAGTACTGTTTCCTGCCATGGTAGGGGGTCAGACTTGATGATCTGCTCAGGTCCCTTCCAACCCTACCAACTCAGTATGGTTGTTTTCGTACTCCTAGCCAAGCCAGCTGTCTTGGCAGAAGTTTGTAATATAGCTCAAACCTGAAGATTTCAGAGGCTGAAACCCGCAGACTGTTCTTCTGAACTGGTTCCTAAAATAAACTCTGTAGCTGGGCCAAGAGTTTGCAGTAGACTACAAACTAATACAACATGCGAAACATTGATTAGGCACCCCTATAGGGAACAAGACATGGAGTTATACTGAGAAAAAGGTGTCTCGGAAGAGTCCAAAAATGTAGAGCTGTTTTCTACGCGCTGTCGTTATACCAGATCAGATTAGAACTAAATGTTAACCATAGTGGTTTGGTTTGGGAGATTCCAGAACCTTGGCACAGACTAGTATTCTCAGATTTATGTAGGTTCAGAGGTTTGAGGTTTGTATTATCATATTTGATATTTTCTAAACTAACAGAAGTATTCAGTCTGGGATTGGGCCTTCAGTTTTTGGGAGTTAGAAGTCCTTGGTTTATTTTTGTGCAAATGAACTGCTCTCTAAATCCTGGTAATATTGGAATGAATGTCTTTGCAGATGTGGCTTTACAGATTTGTAGAGTGGGTTAATACATAGTTCTTTTTCTGATTCTGATTTTTTCCCCCATTCATCCTTTAATTAAGGATTAGTTGGTGGCCAACAACAAGTGCAATGGGGTTTCTGGTTAATTGAACACCTATGACCAAGAAGCTTCACCTTTGGACATTTCAGTGAAAGCATTGTTTAAAAGAAATGTAGCATTTTGGAACTGTGTTCGTGTCTTCAGTTTCCCACCCTCTCTCGCTGCTGGCTTTAGACACAGTGGGCCTTGAAGAAAACTTTGTCACAAACAGGCTTTTATAAATCAATTAACCCTTGCTGTTGCCCTGGACCATTGTTTTAATGCAGTGTCTACTTTACCTACAAGCCAATTCCCAAAAGCAAACCTTTTAAATACCATTTTCTAGCCATCAGTATCAACTGTAATCAGTGAATTGACAAATTTGACACATGGTTATCAGACATAGATTTAGATGTCTATTCTAAATTATCTTTCTAATGTTCCGAAGCAGGGTAAGTGAATACTTCAGTGGAGTTTGCTTATTGGCATAGGAAATCAGCAGGGATAACTTGTGTAGGCACTTTTGAAAATCCCAGCAGCCACCTTTCTGTATCTTTACACGCATAAGTATCTACAGAAAACCTGGCTTTGGCCTTTGGGTTTTTGGAGTTGATCTCGTCCACTCCTGCTTAATTCTTATTCATAGATTAGAAGAGAGAAACAAGCTTTCCTGCTTTTTCAACTGCCATCTGAGTACTTAGCTTTCAAAAAGTAGTCAGATGAACAAAATTAGCCTTTCTGCACCTACTGGATAAATTAAAACCAGAACTAATTAGGCCCAAGCTTAAATGTAAAAGCCAGTTTCTGTTTCATTGCAAAGAGGGAACACAATATAAATAATTAAGACAGTATGTAATAATGACACTTCAGAAGCTTTAGCTGACAATTTTTTTCCTCAAGCTATTGTGTAAAAAAACCAAAAACAACAACAAAAAACTAACCACCTATTTTTAACTTATTTGAGTGCAACTCATTGATATAACAGTTTATTTAAATAGTTTTAATTTAAAATTTATTTAAATCATTTTAACAGATTTTGATCAGTTTTAGGCCTTAAGATGTAGGTTTTTCTCATTTCGTGTTTAATTTTAAAACAGGCTCACTAAAAATAATTAATTTTTATTTACCTGTGATGGATGTCGGTAAGGACTGTGGAATCTTCCTTGGGTTAAATAGCAAGAGGACCATAAGTACTTCTCTGAACAGAGCCATAAAGTCTGCCATTTATCAGATTTGGAAGATGAGATGGAAAGATTAAAGGGGCAGTAATCTTGTTCCATTTATCAAAATCTGTGGGGAAGGGGTGGTGGGCAAAATGGTAGAAAACCTGTTTCTGATGAGACTAAGGTGCTAGCACAAGATGGGTATAAAGCATATTTTAACAGGTCTTAGTGGCTTGGATGATTATGTTCAGTTTTTCATCTATAACTGAAAAACATTTTTTTTTAGTTATAAAAAAAAAAAAAAACAACAACAACCCATGATCATTTGTGGCCAGTAAGTCTGCTGATAGGTGGCCATTAAGGAATTTTCTGCTTCGGACATCTCCCTACATTGTCTCTATAGATTCACACCGACCATCCTGCCTTTGCTGCTGTCAAGTATTGTTTTGTAACTTAGAGTGAAGATAAAATTGTAATTAAGGAGAGGTCTCTCCTTGCAACCGCTATTTTACATTAAAATTGGGTGGGAATAGGAAGCCCATGTTTTCTGCTGCTTTTCAGTGATTCTGGAGTCTGTGAACTTGCGCACCAGACTTTGATTGCAAGGAGCTTCTGAGATGTTCAGTGCTCTAAGTAGTAGTAAGATTAACAGAAGGCTTTAGAATGTGACTAAACGTTTTTTATTTAATTTCCTATATTAGTCCTATATACTTCTGACTGTCTCTGCCTTTGTATATTATACCTATAAGTAAATCACATGGTAGAAGATGCTTGGAAATTTTTTTTAAAAAATTAGGTTGCTATAGACATCTTTTTACGTTTTATGGTGGAATTTGTCATTCTTTGTAGCAGGACTGTTTGCCAGAGAACTAAATTCCTTGCATTTCAGCTTGTCAGTCTGACTAGTTAGAATCATAGAAAAACAGGGCATGGAAGGGACCCCCCAGAGTCCCCTTCGGCAGGACCATCCCCATCTAAACCACTGCATACAAATCCATTGTTTAACTTGTTAGTAAAACTACACAGTCAAATCTGATAGCCACAAGGTGTAACACCTTAACATGCCATAAGTGTGGCAGGGGGGCAGTGGCAGCCAATGTTGTGCTGCTGTGAGGGTTGTTAAAATTCACTTTAAAGGCCCAAGAAAGAAGAGGGCCACGTCCCAAGATACAGGGGAAGGCAAAAACTCCCACTGTCTGTACCAACACTGGGGTAAAATTCTTTTCTGACCTCAAGTATGGTAATCCGTCTGACCCTGAGTGGAGGGGTAAGTCCTTTTAGCTAGGAATCTTTGGGTTGGAGTCTCGGCAGGAGCATTGGTACACCCCAGTCAAAATCCCAAGCCTAGGCTGCAGCCAACCCCCAACACTTCTGGGGAAGGTGAATGCTCCCCCTCACCCCAACATGTAGCAGTGGGGGGCGGGGATTCCTTTCCAGCCCCAAGTGGCTATCAACAAAGCCCTGAAGCATGGGAAATATCCATAGTAAGAGCATAGGCATTAGGCATAGCTTCTCCTAGATAAAGGGTGCTCAACAAAAGGCATTGTTGAGAGGGCCTGTTAAATGTTTTACTTAATACTCTGTGTGCTCCTGTGCTTTACTTTAAACTCGGTGTGCTGCTGCACTGAGCCCAGCTCATGCCCAGAGGAGACATTGCATTAGCTGGACCTGACTCACCCAGTGTCTGCATAGATAGGGCAATTTAGTGGAGCTTTTTTGGTACTTTTATCTAATAGCAGATAGCTGATTGAATCAGCTATTAGATAAAAGCACCAAAAAGCCCCACTAAAGCGCCCAACCTATACAGATGCTTCAGAGCTGGATCAAACTGGTAAAGCCCCCTCCCCCTCATGTTTGGCAGCACCCTAAGTGTCTGTGAAGAACTGACTTCAGGTAATAAATACACATTGGTCTTGTCATTGTTCAGAGTGGACCAAGCTTTGAGCATGCTTATGCCCTGGACACTGAACTCTCTCTTCACAAAAATTCAGATTATAGAGCTACTAAGGACAGGTCCACACTGTCTTTGAATTAAACCCTGGAGAACCACTGAAAGCTTGATCATTTGCTTCTGTTCATTGTGAATCTAAGGCCTAGAAATAAGGCAGTGAAGCTGGTTTAGCTTGGGTTTAAACGTGCAAGAAAAATTATATCTCAGAACAGCTGAGTGCCTACTCAGGACTATGGTAAACTTGACTTTGTTTAATTTCTTAGTTATGTCCTGTGTTGAGCAGGAGCAGCTGTCTGAGGCATGCTTTTTAGTATTGTTTTCAAGCCCTTCCACAGGGCTTTTTCCAAAGGGCTTGTTCAGTGAACTGTGTTCATGACCCGAGTCATTCTTTTTTTGTTGGAAACAGTTGTATCTGAATGTTTGTATTTAAAAAAAAAAAAAAAAAAAAAAAAGTTAAATTTGGCTCAGCTTATTAACTTGAAATGTTAACGTGCTTTTGAAATGGAAAATGAAGATAAAATGCTTAGCAAGTTTTAGGTGGATTATACATATATAGTAAATAACATTTCAGCTTTTGAGACCTAGGTTCAAGTGCAACTTTTATTACGAATGTAAATGAACTTCATGAACTAGTTTTCCATAGTGGTGGTATACTTGTAAAATGATTGTAACAAGGCACATTGTTGTACTGCAGGAATACTGGGATCGGGGAGTGAACACTTTTGGGTGGGGGAACTATGTTCAATGTCAGTTGTATTGTGCCTGACTTCTGCTGTTTCCTCACTTCAAGTATTGAACTCTTCTTTATTCTAAGAAGAGTGTTTTAACTACTAAACAAACCTTTTTTAAATAAGAAATAATGATTGTATTTTTATTATTTACATCACAGTACAGCATTTTTTAAAAGTTCCTTTGTTTTAATAGGAGTCCACATCTCCAGTTGTTTCACCACAGCAATCCCCACCAACTTCTCCACATACATGGAGGAAGCACAACCGCCATCCCAGCGGAGGGAATAATGAACGGCCTCTTGCTGGACCTGGGCCTTTTTGGGCTCCATTTAGTGAAGCACAACCAGGTATAAATGTCTTATGTTATACTTGAAATGTTGCCTGAAGTTGTAGAATTTTTTAGAAAAGTTTATAGATTAGGTTAGTTTAGCTTTACATTTTCAGTATTGAGAGCAACTCAGTTGCAGACTGAAGTGTTTAAATTGGTACCAATACTGCAAAACCTTCTATCCTGGCTGCAGCAGGCCAATTTCATAAGTGTGATATGACAAGAAATTTGTGGAGGGAGGGATATAAGGAAAGATTATGAACTTTGCAAGAGAAAAATTATATCATTATAAAATTGGTACATTGTTCAAGCTCAACAAGAAACTTCCAAACAACTGTAAAATGGAACTTAGAATGCAAAGAGGATAGATAACAGTACTTGCTGTCTGCTTGAATTATGCTTTTCTTTACAGTAGGTTAAATTTTAATTTTTGTCAGGTTAAAGCTGAGATATTTCTTAACAGTTTGAGTTTTCTGTATTATCTAGAGCTTCTGCAAGTGTTAAGAATTCAGTCTTGAATTTTTTTTGTTTCAGTTATGTCGGAGAGTGCATTCATACATTCATGACTTCTGTGCTGTTATAACCATTCCATGTAGTTAATTATTTCTTGTCAGGCATTAAGAAAATGTCTAGTCTGTGATCCATTTCTCTTGAAATGTAAAGAGCTTTTCACCTGTAATGTCCATGTTTCTACAAGTTCCATTTGCTTTTCTCCACTGTTCCAGATTTTCTACAATGAAAGGGACTCCTAGTTTCAGCAACTCTTTTGGCTTGTTTTGTTTTTTGTTAAAAATATATTGTATTTTATAGTCTTGTTATTTTATATTAAATTGAATTATGCTGTGACTTATTTCTTACTTTATTTGAATACTTACGTATATCTGGGTCTCCAGAATTGGCCCGCTATTTTTCATCATCTTTTCATCGCTTTTTTGTAGTTATTGCTGTAATAAGCCTTTGAGGATAAGGGAGATTTGTATAATCAGAACTGGTTGAAGGTATTTTCCTCACCTGTTAAATCCTAAAGAAATACTAAAATTTGTTTTATTTTCAGGGGCACCTAAAAAGGAAATGGGTCATATGCAGTGGGTTGTGCCAAACATGATAGTATCTCAACAAATGACATACCGTGCTTAGTCAGGTTTATAAATTAAGAGATTAAACAGTTTAATGTGGTCTTATGCCACATACAAGTTAGAACAATTCTATTTAGGTTACATTTTTAATGGATAAATTAATGTCACTTTCCCCCTTAAAAAAACTTGAGTACAGAGGTTATGATAAGATCAAATGTAGATGAGTTATTGCCGGGCTTGTCTTTTAGTTTGCAAAGCCAGTGAACTCCTCCAGGCTTTAGTCAATAATTTGCTGGTACCAGTTTTGTTACTGGAAATTGTCTTTTTTTTTTTTCTTCTTTTTTTTTATAAACCAATGAATTCTCTCTTAATTCATCAACTGTTGCAGCAGCGTTTTTTCCTGTGAATACCTATTTAGGTCTAAGAAGTCCTCCCTGAATCAAAATATATACAAATCTATTTAAATTCAGCCCTATTTCCCATGCTGAAGTACTTTTATTGAACCTAAAATCATTCTTAATGCATCCCTGTGGAGGAATTGCTTGATTTGAAAACTTTAAGTCTAGAGATGATTTATATTTTACTGTGTTAGCTGAGGGCTAAATTAAATTAAATTGTTGCCTGGTTCTGTTACAAATCCTAGGTATACTTTTTAGACATAACTTTCACACTCTTTTGCTCTCCCCTGTTTCTGTCTTTAAAAAAAGGTGTTGTATGTGTATTAAACTAGGGTCTAGCAGAGTAGTTGCACAAGGTTTGGATAACTGCTCTGCTAAAATTCAAAATCAAGCTCTGCCAGTTCATCTTAGTTCTGACCTGTGAAATTCCCTTTCTGTTCCAGTCTTAGACCTCTCTTGAATAATCAGCTAATATCAAATTATAACGTACCTACTGTGTGGAACCATTGTACTAGAATATGAGATGAGACCACAATATTTCACTTGTGATCCTCTCCCTTAAGAACCCAAATCTCTCTGGCCGTAAGGCAGTAAATGATAGGTTTGAGAGAAGTGCATCTAAATTTTAAGAGCTTGTTATTGTTAGCCTTTTTCATTACTTAAACTCCCTATAATACCTTTCTTCTCTTGATCAAGCATATTGTTTTTAAATATGTCTAGAGTAGGGTAAGAACTGGTTAGACATTACTTGGAGAAGCTAGATGTCAAGTAGTTAGGGTCAAATAAGGCATACTGTAGGGTATAAAGTAATTGGCTGAGGTAATTTCAAAGCTATTGAATTCAAAGGTCTCCTTTTTGAGAGCTCGTGGAAGTCAGGTGTGGTCCCAAATGATTGGAAAAGAGCAAATAATCATGGCCATTTTTAAGGAAGGGTAAAAGAAGGATCCAGGGAATTACAGACCAGTTGGTTTGACCTTGATACCTGGAAAGATCAAGGAGTTGTTCCTTGAGGAATATAATGTGAAGCATCTAGAAGAGTACAGGGTGATCATGAACAGCCAGCAATGGATTTGCAAAGAGCAAGCCATTCTTGACCAAGCTGATTTCCTGCTCTTATAAGGTGAACTTGGGGAGAGCAGTGGATGTGAGATCTTGACTTTAGCAAGATTTTGATACAGTCTCCCACAGCATTCTCATTAACAAGCTAAGGGAATACAGGCTAGACAAAAGTACTGTAGGTGGATACATACCTGATTGGATCATCGTGCTCAAAAAATAGTCATCAATGGCTCAGTGTCAGGTTGGGATGAGGTATCAAGTGGGATTCTCCAGGGGTCTGTCCTGGGTCTAGGATTATTCAACATTTTCATTAATGAATTGGACAATGGGATTGAATGCACACATGAAATTTGCAGGCAGGTCCCAAGTTGGGTGGAGTTGCAACTGGAGAATAAGGGTAGGATCCAGAATGACCTAGCTAAATTGTCAAAATCGTCCAAAATCAATCGGATGAATTTCATCAAGGACGGGTCCATAATCCTGCACTTGGGACAGAATTATTGTATATACAAATACAGACTGGGTACTGCAGAGAAGGACCTTAGGGTTGCAGCAGACTTTAAGATGAAATATAAGCCAACAGTGTGCAGCATACTGGATTGTATAATAGGAGTGTTTCTTGCAAATCAAGGAAGTGATTCTTCTGCTTTATTTGCCACTGGTGAGGCCTCACCTGGAGTAGTGTTGTGAGTCCCATATTTTAAGAAAGTTGTGAATAGATTGGAAAGAGTCCCACAGAGACCAGCAAAAATTATTAGAGGCCTAAGGAACAAGATGTAGATGAGGAAAGGCTCAAAGTAGTATGATTATTTAGTCTGGAAAAGAGAAGACTTGAGGGGGTGGGATTTGATGAGTCTTCAGGAACAGGTTAGACACATGGCTGGGATGATTTAATCAATGAGGATCTTGCCCTGAGCAGGGCATTGGAGTAGATGACCTTATGAGGTACCTCCCAGCTCTGCTTTCCTATGATCGTATGAAATACCTGAAGGGCAATGATGTTGAGGATGGAGATTTTTCTTTGTGGCTGTAGGGAACAGGATTAAGGGCAAGGAGCAGTAAGAGTTAAAATCTGCAAGTCTGAAGTTCTGTAGAAAGCACAGGGATGCATCAAAACATTTGGAATCTGATCAAGAATATCATGGGATGGAGAGAATTGATGCAACCTGCCATAGGAAATAAGAAATGCATGTAGGATGGTACAACCAAAACCTGGTAAATGGGAATTAAATAAATTTAGCATTTGGCAAATTGTAAGTTGCATGGCACCAGTGTGTTTAATTGTGTGTGTAAAATGATGTAGGCTGGAAGTAAGTGTTTCTAATGTATAAAAAGAGTGGAATGGAAATGCCCTTTGGATTTATGTTTATTCCTGCACTATCCCCGCTGTCAGCCAGCCTGGTCACCTAACTGATTGTATGAATAAAGGCTGCACAAAGTTCTTACTGAGTAGCTGCTGCATGTTTATTTGAACTATATTTCAGCAGGACCTGAGAGGTCCTTGGAGGCAGCAACGTTTTGGTGCTGTGACCTGGGTAAAGAGTGACTCGGTGGTATAGCCACGTGGCCAGGCAGTTTTGGGTCTTTGGGGAATCCCCATGGGTTGTTGGAAGATATGCAAGTCAGATTTAGACAGACTACAAAAGTGGGTAGATGAGACTAGGACGGGGTTCAACGTAGACAAATGCAGGGTGCTGCACCTTGGGAGAAGGAATCCACAGCATACATACAGGCTGGGGAGTTCCCCTCTTGAAAGCACAGAGGCGGAAAGGGATCTTGGAGTCATTATTGACTCCAAGATGAGCATGAGCTGCCAATGCCAGACCGCAGCCAGCAGTGCTAGCCATACCTTGTCATGCATCCAAAGATGCATCTCAAGCCGGTCCAGAGAAGTAATACTCCCCCTCTATGCGACTTTGGTTAGGCCGCAGTTGGAGTACTGAGTCCAGTACTGGGCGCTGCACTTCAAAAGGGATGTGGCCAGCCTGGAGAGGGTTCAGAGGAGGGCCACTCGCTTTATGAGAGGGCAGCAGGACAGGCCCTATGAGGAGAGACTGAGGGACCTGAACCT